CCCGGGCTTGTGACTTCTCCTTCCGGCTGATTTCTCTTCTGTGCAGCCAGGGGAGGGTGGCATCCTGAGGTCCCTTCTCAAGCTTTGGTCTTTGATCTTGAGATTMAGGTAGAAATGCCCAAATACCTAAGAGCTGGGTGGTCAGGATGGTGAGCACCAAGTGCCTGGGATCCCTTCAGGCCCTTGGCCACAGGCCAAGGAGAGGGGATGCCCTCTGTGGCCATGTCAACAGGAAGTCCTTGTGGGAAGCATTGCCAAGAGGAATGGGGAGAAGGCTGTGTAAGGACCAGGCCACTCTGCTGGTCAGTGTCCCCAGCCTCCTGTGCCTGCACCTCACTGTGAACCTCCCCTGCCTCTGTTCTGGTCACTGAGCCTGGATCCAGGTCCAGGAGACAGCTGCAGCTTGTCTCTGCAGGGAGGGGCAGGGCTGGGGGCAGCAGCTGAGTGACGGCTACAGAGGGGCCTCCCAGCTTGCTGAGCTCCTTTCTCAGAGGTCCTCCCAGGGCTGGGACTGGGGTCTCTGGTGAAAGTTCCAGCGAGATCTTTGCATTCTGGCCTAGTCCCCTGCCTGCCTGCACCACTGCCCAAAACCTTCATGTTTTTTCTCTACTGTTCACTCCCTCTATTTTCTTCTCCCTACCCCCAAAGCGTCCTTTCACCTATTTCTAAGGATCTGGTGGCTGTCCTCTTGAGACTGGGGCAGCTAGGGCATGTGGCCAGCAGAGTCTTTCTCCCTTATATACTCTCACACACGTGCACACCCGTGGACCTGTACCCAGGGTGATTTCCTGGCTGACACTGGAGCAGTCTGCCCATGCTCAGAGGTCCTCCCTGGGTGGTGGCCGGTCTTCCTCTGCAGTGGGCAGTGGGAGGTTTGGGATGGCTGGGTACTCATGGCCCTGTTCCCTTCTGAAGCAATGTGTGGTGGGAACGCAGGGAGAGTGGAGTACTGGACTCACTCTGGCCCTAGGTCTCCCCATCTCAGACATCAGAGGCTGGTCCGATGGAACTTAGAGCCATAAAGGATGGAAGAGGCCCTTGGCTCTGGCCCCCTCGGAGTTGTCTTGGGTGGGGGATGTCCTTTCTCTAGAACCCAGGGCACTTCCTCCAGGGGCCAAGTGCTTAGTTGGAGGGAAACCACCTCGAGAAGCTACACTTGTTTACCTCCATTCTGTAAAGGTTTAGTAAGGGTTCACTCAGTGTCCCATCCAGAGCCCCAGCTGATGTGGGGTCAACAGACCACCCCAGGAAGCACCCGTTTCAACCAGGTGACATGTTGTTGCAGCTGTAGCTACTTTATGTGGAGCCCTGYGCATGCACTGAACATCACCTACCTCCTTTGACACTCCCAGTGGAGGCTGTAATTGCCTGTRATCCCAGAGGCTCAGGAGATGGAGGTAGGAGGATGGCAAGTTCAAATCCAGCCTCATCAKCAATTTAGTGATGAGAAAGACCCTGAATCAAATGAAAAATAGATAGGGCTGGGGATGTGGCTCAGTGGTTAAGCACCCCTGGTTCCATCCCTGTTATTGAAAAAAAAAGAAAAAAGAAAAATTCCCAACGCCTCCCTGGGAGTGGTGTGCATCTCCCCATTTTACACAGTGAGAGCCAGGGGACCCAGACGGTCAGTGACAGAGCAGAATGCATCCCCCGTGGGCTCCCTGCCTCCAGCTGAAGCTCTCAGGCTCTGTCTCCTGAGTCACCTACTTTCAGTTATCTGTAAAATGGGGATAGCGCGCCTTCACCTGCCTGTGGAATTATTATAAGGTTTACACGAGGGCATGCACAGGAAACAACTAATTGTTGGTGCCCTGTTCTGACTTGATAAATGGTGGCCATTACATTCTAATGGGCTCTGCCCCARCACCCTCCTCTCTCCTGTATGTCCCCAGCCGGGTCACTTGACCCTTCCAGGCCTCTGCCCGCTTTTCTCTGGTGCACGGGGTCATGACACTTGCTGCAGGTGCTTAGGGCAGAGTAGGTCGGTGGTGGGGAGGCCTCTGGCTGGGTACTGGCCGCTGGCAGGGCCTTGGTTCTGCTCCCCAGATCTCCCCACGGCGCCTCCCCCATCCTGGCTCCCCCACGTGGTAATTAAGCTGGAAACATCTAGTGTAAGCAAATAATAACAAGGGCATTATCTCCCTTCAGTCTGTTTTCCTTGCCGACCATGAAGTAATTAAAATAATGAATGCCTTGTAAAACAATAGGTGAGAGGGCTGCAAAATCGCACAAAATTGCACAAAATCGCACTATCTGCCTCCCGCACCAGGGATTATTGATGCATCCGGCCTCCCGCCTTCTGGGCTGTTCCTGGAGTTCCCTCCCCCAGAGGTGGCCATGGAGCCGTAGTCCAGGAGCAGAGAGCTGGCCCTCCAGTCCCCAGTGGCAGCAGGAAGCAGTTAAGACACACCCCTGTGGGCCTTACTCGGGGGGAAGCACAGGGCCTTGCTCTGAGGGCCTTCTCCCCCCAGCTGTCCAGCTCTGAATGAAGCAGGAGGCYCCCGAGGAAGGAAAAGGCCAGGAGACAGCTGGGCACCATCATGTCCCATTTCAGATCAGGGCAGGGCTCCTCGGGCACTGCCAGGATGGTCAGGGTGTGGTTCCCCYGAATGGGGCCCCCAGGTCAGCGGATGGGCACTGCCTGGGAACTGGGTAGAAGCACAGTTCCGGCGTGGCCAGCCCCCTGTGTTTCACAGGCCCTCCCCAGGCCCCAGGTGCCAGCTCAAGGTGGACAGCCACCCCTCTGCAGGGTCCAGGAGTGGGTAGGGGAGGGGTGGTGGGACCAACAGGTTGAGCATGTATGATGTGCCKTTGGGTGCTGTGTAACCCCAGTGCCTGTGGAGTGGACAGGATTGTCCCTTACAGGGGAGGTCCCACAGAGTCACGAGAGCTGGATTTGCCCTCTGGGTTTGCACCTTTGGTGACTATGGCTGCCCCTGGATGCGACCTCCCTCCTTCCTGGAGACCCACCTGTTCAGCCTCATGGGGCTGAGCCTCACAGACTGGGACCACTAAGACTGGCCTAGGAGAGGCTTGATGCCATGCCAGTCAGCAAGTGGCCTTCAAAGATGCCCACCCAGCAGCCTCCCCTTCCAGGCTCCTGCTGGGTTTGTTCTAGTCCTTGGGGCCTGACACACTTGGAAGCAAATGTCAGCCTTCTGTGCAGCTTCTCCCATCCCCAGCTGGCCCCAGCCAGGGCGGCCAGAGGGGAGAAGCACCATCAGGAGCAGCTTCCTGCCTGCTGTGCCCGAGCCCTGGGCTGCCTCATTCAGCACCTCCCCACCGGCCTCTCCACCAGCCTCTGGGCTCCCCTGGCCTCACTTGGCCCCAGGTCCTCCCATGCAGAGAGTTTCACCTCTGCCTCTGATACTCCCCATATTTCAAGGCCCAAGGATTTGCTTTGGAAAATCAACTCCAGGGTTTTAAACGATGAATATAATTTGCTGGCTGTCTTCTTTCCACACATCGTCATGGCAGTCATAATCTCTGTGGGTGTTTCAGTGTGCGTCCAGTTACGTTTGCAAATTTGATAAATAATAAAGTTTGGTGCAAGTATGTCCCATGCAATATTTGGGACCTACTTAAACTGAAAATATTATTGTTTATCTGAAATTCAAATTTAACTGGATGCCCTGTTTTTTTGTTTTAAGTCTGGCAGCCCCAGCCCAGGTTGTACAGATGATGAAGGGCTGATACACATTTCACTCATTCCTTTATGCTTATGGAACCAGCTTTGTGCCAGGGACTCTGTTAGGCACTGGGGCCACRGCAGTGGGGGAGGAGGGGCTGACAGTAAATGAAATAGCAAGTGGATTGTACAGTGAATTAGGGGTTTTAAGTGCTGKGTGGAAAAATCAAGCAGAAAAGTGCCATAGAAGGAAAGACTTGCAATTTAAAAAGGTAGCCAGAAAAGACTTCACTGAGAAGGGGATATATAAGCACTTGAGGAGATGAGGGAGCAAGCCCCAAGCATTTATGGGAGAAAAGTGTTCCAGCAGAGAGCATATTGTGTGCAAACTTGTATAATCAAGAACCTTGTGTGGAGTTCAGTCATCTGATAAAGTCAGCCTTTTTATCTTAAGGAACTTTTTAAGCTGTAAAGGGAAATTTATTCTCTCCTAAACYGAAAAGGTCTGGTATGGATTTCAGGCCTAGCTGGATCCAGGTATTCAAGTGATGACACTGATATCCTATAGCTTCTACTTTCCTCCCACAATGGCTTTATTCTCACAGAAGGATTGCTTTTTTCTACTCTCTCCAGCAAATTTTCCCGGTTTGAGTTGTATTGGGTGAGCATGGGTCACATGACCAACCCTGGCCCAGACACTATTACCAGGAGAATAGAATGGACTGACTGAACCAGTGTGAGGCCATTAGTCCCTTTTGAATCACGCAGTTGGAGAGGAAGAGATGGGAATGTCTTTAAAAGAAAGTGAGTGTAATAGTGTGCAAGGGTCACAAAGACTGGGCGGTGAGCACCATGGTGTACTGACCACATCCTCTCCCACCGCCCTGGGACCCTGGACAGGTTGCTTTCCCTCCTGAGCTTGGGGGCTTTTCTCTTTAAAATGGACAGAGAATAATGTCTCATTTGCAAAGGAATTTTAAAAGGAAAAACTTTTATTTATTTATTTTTGGGGTACCAGGGATTGAACTCAGGGGCACTCAGCCACTGAGCTACATCCCCAGCTCTATTTTGTATTGTATTTAGAGACAGGGTCTCACTGAGTTGCTTAGTGCCTCGCTGTTGCTGAAGCTGGCTTTGAACTTGTGATCCTCCTGTCCCAGCCTCCTGAGCTGCTGGGATTACAGGCGTGTGCCACGGCGCACTGGCTGAGAAAAGACGTTTTAAAAACTGATTGTTACAAAGTCGAAGCGCTCGCCCACCCCTCCTCCCCACCTCAGCGGGGGCCACCCTTGGGCTTCGATTCCTTGTGGGAAGGGGTGTATTGAAATCCAGTTGTTCTCTAGGTCTCAACTCTCCTTCTCTCTGTTGCCAGGAGGCCCAGAAGATTAACAATGGCTCCAGCCAGGCTGATGGCACTCTCAAGCCAGTGGACGAGAAAGAGGAGGCGGTGGCAGCCGAGGTCGGCTGGATGACCTCCGTGAAGGACTGGGCTGGGGTGATGATATCCGCCCAGACGCTGACCGGCAGAGTCCTGGTGAGTCTGCGGCCTCCCCACGCCAGGAGGCCTCGCCTGTGGCCTTGATGGCTCTGTTTATGAGACGTGGTGTCCTGCTGGGCCTCCTCCAGCTAAGCTGGTGGCCTGGGAGGGATTTGCAGAGCCTGGGCTGGGAGCCCATTGGAGGGCACACTTTTAAGTTTATCTGCTTGCAGAAGAGATGTACACACAGGCGCACACACACACATACACGCACACACACACACGCACACGCACACATATACACACACCTGGACCATCTTAGAACAAAGTGGGGCCAAGAAACCCATGCCAGGTGCCTATGGAGGACCTGTACACCCAGGGTCCAGGGTGCTGTGTGTGTGTATGTGTGTGAGCATGTGGCCTTCTGGGGATGTCACTGCTGTCCTTTGGCGGCTGGGCAGTGAAGTGAGCCCCTTTGGGGGCAGTGTCTTATTAGGCATTGTGTGAACTGGATCCTGCCCGTGGTGGACACTCATGGTCATGGTCATGCTGAAGCTGCCCACGGCCCTTGTGCTTGGAGCACTGCCCACGTGCCCTTAGTTCAGATGCCAAAGAGGCCCTTCTGCAGCSAGTCCTGCTTCTCTCTGATCTGCTGGTACAGAGCTCGGCTTTGTTGATGGGTCTCGTGAGCCCCTGGTTACAGGGGAGGATCATGGGTGGGACGGGTTTAGAGTGACAGAATACCTGGGCACTCAGGGACGAGACGGCCACCACTGCCAGGCCCAGGCTCCGCAACAGGGGCCTCCTGGCTGTCGTTGCCCTGATCACTGGTTTTCTTGAGTCTGCTCTGGGTCGGGAGTTTMCCCGAGGACGATGCCTTCGGGGTGACTTCTCACTGTGACTCTAAAGCTGTTTGGTGTGGGGCCACCCTTYCTGGGCCCAGAGTGAGGCTCAGAGATCCAAGATCAGCCAGGGATGCTGGGAAAGGGTCTTATGACCTCGGTGATTCTCGGCAGAGTCTCAGGGAGGAGGTGATTGTGGACGGAGCGAGGGGGCAAGACTTTCACTCATCTTTCTTGGGGGGAGTTCTGCGTTGTGTTTGGGATAAACCCCTCACAGGCCTTTGGAGGAGATGTTGAACTCCCTGCTCCAGGAATCCAAAGAAGGCTGGCCAGACGGCCTCCCTGGGGGACAGGGCCCCAGGAACTGCTGGAGCCACTGTCAGGTTTCTGGCTGTAAAGTCGTGGCTGATAGAGACCCACGGAGGACGGGTCAGGAAGAGGAGAGATGCAAGGCTGAGGTTTTGGAGGAGGAGAGAAAAGCCGGCGAGGTCAGTCACTGCAGGAGGAAGACAGAGCAGGGAGGCCTAGGGGAGAGCGTGTCCATTGAGGACGTGCAGGTGCTTCCTGTTGGCTGAACTGTGTGGCCATCGGCATCCTCCCTTCTGGTTCCTGGGCGAAGGCTCCATAGCTCCTCTGAGCTGGTGTGTGAGTGAAGTTTGCTCGGGAGATACCAAGGTTGAGTGGGCAGTGCCCTGAATGCACACGGCGATGGCAGACACAGAAGGGAAGGTGGCATGGTGGTGCAGTGGGACACTGCCTCCTCACGTGTGACCCTCATAGTTAGTGCTCATTGTCTTCATCAGCAGGAGCCAAGAGTTACCAAGTTCTGACTCTGGGTCAAGCGTCTTCTCAGTCCTGTGGGATACAGGGAATGACCCTGATTCTACTGCACCGTGCATAGCCATGGCCGAAAGAGTGCCTGGGGAGAGATGTGGAGTCCAGGCTGCGTGTGAGTGCTCGTGTATCGGGGAGGCTGTAGGAGGGGGCAGGGAGGAGGCCTCCCAGTTAAATGAACCAGGCACACACTTGGTGGTCCAGAAGATACCCCAGAAGATCCTTAAAGCTCAAAAACAAGGACCTCTCCGGGGATCCAGAAGCTGAGAAGAATACAGAGTGAGATGGAAAGCTCAGGAATGGAGCTTTGAGAGGAGAGTTAGGATCCTGAAAGTCAAAAGAGAGGAAATCCTTCCACAGTGAGCAAGCGGCGGGAGCAAAGGGGAGCCTGGCACATTGCAGGAAGAAGGGACCCCACCCGGGAGACCCAAGGCCACGAACACAAGGGCATTCGAGAGCAAGAAAGATCAGGAAGGGGACTGGAGACAGCCTGTCAGGTCTTTGAAGGCCAAGCTGGAGAATTTGGGCTGGGTATAAAAGATGAGATTTTGAGGGAGAGGTACCGTGAGGGGTTGTTATATGGACAGTAGGTGGATACGGACAGACCTAGGGAGAAGGCGGAAGTTGGAGGTCTTAGGACAGGTGAGGGTAGTGAGCCCTGTGTCAGGGAGAACGCAGGGAGGGGGACGGCCGTGGCTCCTGAGAGGCAAGGCCTTACCCAACACCGAGTTGCAGATGGGGGTGATGTGGTGCATGTGGGATTCCTGGTGCCACGCACACCCCATAGCCCCCTCGATGTGACTGCTGTGCYGCCCATCTCATCTTTGAGAGCCTCTTGTGATGGGGCATGCTGTGTCATTTTACTCATYCTGCATTTCCTGCCCTGCTGCTGGGTGACGGGGGCTCCTCACRAGGAAGCAAGCCAGCCTTCCCCAGGAACCCATCTCTCTTTTACAACCGAGAAAACCAAAGCATGGGAAGGCCCTTGACTTGCCAAAGGTGACGGAGCCAGCCTGGTGACTCTGGGCCTCCAGACTCCCAGCCTGCTGTGCCTTCAGCTGAAGGTAATGCCTTTTCTTTGCCAAGCCACTGACAGCTGTTGCTTTGGCTGTGACATTTTGACGTTACCCCCGTGGTGCCAACTGGGTCCTCAGGCCACTTGGCCTGACCCTCTTAACATTTGCATGTAGAAGCAGGTCTGCCCTGGCTCCCTTGCCTATGGCTTCCCAAGATGCCAGCTGAAGATGCTTTCTGAAGGTCCCCTTGAGAATGTCCTGCCAGGGCTGCTGGGCCCTCAGAGCAGAGCAGGCCTGCCGCAGCCATCAGGATCTCGAGTTCCAGGAGGTAGCTGCCTAAGACTAGGCCTGTAGGGGAGGCAGGGTCTTGCTTGCACACAGAACACACTTCATGCCAAAGTCACTGCACACAAGAGGAAGCCATGCTGCCTGTTAGGAACCCCGAGCTGTGTTTGTCTTGAGCTGTCCAAATGTTTATCCCTGCCACGATGGGACCAGAGCAAGAGGAGACACCTGGCTGTTCAGAATTTTCCTTTTCAATCTTTAATGTCTTTTCCTTGACGCACACCCAGGAGCTCCGTGCCCAGGTCTGGGCCCCTGTTCTCACCTGATTATCACAGGTGAGAGCTGGGACATTATAGGTGAGACCCAGCTGGGGAAGAATTTGCCAGGACAACCCCAGAATATCCACAGCATCTCTTAGACAGGCACGTCAGTCATTGGATGAATGTGGACTTCAGACCTGCACCGGGCTTTGTGCTAGGCACGGGGCCTAAAGCAGTGAGCATCAGGGCTCCAGGCTGGGGATTACTCATGTTGCTGAACTAGATGTAAAGTTGTGGCACTCCATTTAAAAGATGACAAATTATCATCGCCATTCACCAGGGCTTTTTATAGTCAGCACCTGGAGCCTCATCACCAAAGTGATGAAATTCCCCCCACCCCCTTCCCGGGCTACAGGTCTCAGAATAGCCACTGTGCCTCGTCTCACCCTGGCCCCAGCTTAGCCGCACAGGAACAGCTAGGCTGGGATGGATGGAATCTTGCCTTGGCGCAGGCAGATTTTACATCAAAGAAGTACCAGGCTATCAAGGGTGTTGCTTCCTTTATTTTCTTTATTTTACAGAACATTTGTTTTCTGATAATAAAAGTTCTATTGGTCTCCATGTCCACAAATTCCATATCCATGAATTTTAGCGGACATGTATGAAAAATAGTGAGGAAGGCCAGGCGTGTGGTATATCCCAGAGGCTAGGGAGGCTGAAGCAGGAGGATCACGAGTTCAAAGCCAGCCTCAGCAACTTAGCGAGGTTCTAAGAAACTCAGCAAGACCCGTCTCTAAATAAAATGTAAAAAAGGCTGTGGATGTGGCTCAGTGGTTAGGCGCCCCTAAGTTCAATCCCCAGCATTAAAAAACAAAACAAAAACCATAGGAAGAAAACTGCATCTATACCGAATGTATACTATCTTTTTTCCTGTTGTCATTTTCTAAATAATACTGTAGAGTGACTTTTTTTCATAGCATTTGCATTGCATTATGTATCACATGTAATCTAGGATGATTGAAAGCATATGGGGCAGAGTGGATGTGTGGGGGTCATGTGCAAGTGCTATACCATTTAAACAAGGTACTTGAGCATCTGTGGAGTTGGGTATCCACAGGAGCTTCTGGAACCAGTCCCCAGCAGTTACTGGTGGACATCTTTAGGATAGTATGTGCTTATTTTGGAACTTTGGAATGTCATAGAATTTCTGGGTTTTTCTACTTTAGGATATGGAGTTGACCCACAATGGAAGACTTTGAATTCATGTGTCAGTGTCACCAGAGTTYCTCCCAACAGCTTGGAGGTTGTTGAGATCTTGCTTCATTACAATTCACCTGATGCATTTTGTGCAAACACTCATAGAATAAATAGTTCTTTGCACCAGAGATCATCATGGACCTCTTGGTGAACATCCAGTAAACATTCTGAATTAGAATAGGGACTATGTCTCTTCCTGTGGTGGTTGCTGGGAGCCAAGTTGGTGGCCCCTGGAAAAGTAAGGGCATCTTGGTGCTTTTGTGCTGTGCATTCACATTGCCCCTGCTTTCCTCCGTCTCTTCTCTCATCTCTGCATTGCCCTGATTTCCTAACACTCCTATTTGAAATTTACATGCATGTGGTTATATGCTCTATCCAGTTCTGTGAACCAAACTAAACCTTTCTAAGAATGAGATGGTACAGAGGGCAAGAAACACATGGGGTAGGCTTTTGTGCAGTTTGTACTTTGGAGACTCAAAAACCAAATCATCAACATTTTCTGTAGCGAATAGTTTAGGCCTCCTGAATCACAGAGACTCTAATGACTACAGAATCTGACATTG